AAGCTGGAAGATTTCTGGGAACTCARCAAATTACCAAAGCATAACTATAAAATGGGTACCATACTCCGCCAGAGGTTTCTCAGTTGCTGGATATCTCATAACCTGTACTCCAGCTGAAGACTGGCTTGTCAACGTCTCTTACGGCGTTGCTTACAAGAACTCTACTGGCGTGTGTCAGAATCTTGTAGGCTATACCTACTATAATGTGACTGTCTATGTTTCAATTATTGACTTACACGAGGAAAACACATTGCTGTACAGAAGTGAATCAACCGTTGTACGAACCCAAGAAGGAGGTGAGAAAAAAATCGATATWAGATATCATTAAAACTCAACTCACAGATAAAATTGAAATTTAGGGTGTTCACAAGTTTTTAGAGGGAGAATTGAAAGGGAGAGACAACAACACTTTACACAAATTTGATGACGAGTCCAGGAATCGAACCTGATACCCTAGGTGAGAAGCGAGTGAAGATCTGCTACCCATTATATGGCTAATTTTAAAAGAAATGTTGAAAACTACAATTGGGGAACAAAATAATGATAACCTTATGCTTCTTATGTTATGTAAATATTTGCACAATTTGGATTTACTAAAAGATAATGGTAGTGGGACTGAGTTGAGTCCAATAAGTTCTGTAATCATATGAAAGATAAACAAAATTGGACAACCACGTAGCGGGAGTCCAAATCGTTTAATTATGATTGGACAAGAGGAGTACATTTGAATCCCAAATTGTACTCTGTAGAGGCCCAATTAAGTTGCTCAATTTTGTTGAGTGTGATAAAAAAAATTAATAAATAAATCGCACGATCTTCTCTTACGATTCGGAATTTATAGATACTCGCCTAAAGCCTCGTCCAATTTTGAAAACTTTCTAAACACTCGTTCCTATAAATTCCGAATTGTACGAGACGATCTTGCGATTTCCTATACGAATTGGACGGCACTAAGTCCTCTTACCAATTAAACAAAACTATCACTATTTCCGAGAAAAATATTTTCGCGATAAATAATGATGACCAGTAAAATAACGAAAAGCAATGTCATATTTTGATGAAAAAGCGCGAAACGTTAGTGAAAAATCTCATAAGAGTGCGCATTTTACTAAAAAGGTATTAAATATATTTAGGCACTGCCTAAAAGCGGAGCTCCTGATACGGAAGTCACAGGGAGCCCAATTTGAATGAATGTGGAAGATGAAATTAAAATCGGATATTAAGATAATATTAAGATAATGTCTCCTATAATAAAAACATGCACTGAAAACGAATCAAAATGCACTACATCGTTTTCTTTGCGCGAGAATACTCTCCCACTTATATGAATTTCGTACACAACTCACCACCAACTCCCCCAGGCGCTAGTTTTTTTCTTGGAAGATTCTTCGACAAAGATCTCCATGGCCGACATTTTTTAAGCTTTGAATTCATGGTTAATTTTACTTATAAACGAAAGATAACTACAAATAATCCAATACAATATCAGGTTTAGTGAAATTTACCTCGGATGTCTTTCATTGAAATCGAAATTTTGGAGATTTTCGAACTTTTATGGACAAATCAAGACTATAAAACAGACTTGAGAACTGGTAAAAAAAAAGGTGAGCAAAATACATTAGCTTACTTTTACTTCTTTTACACTAGAGTGCATTCAGTTAATCCATTGAAACCTTAGTAATACAAAATTGCACAAAATTGTACAAAAGCCTTTGGTTTCTATTGTTTAACTTGCACTATTTAGTACAAAATAGTCATTTGTGTTTCACGGATTAACTGAATGCACTCT